TGAGGTACAACTGCTTCTTTATACACTACACTTGAATAAAACATTTGGTAGATATGTTAAAGTAATTTTTTACTTAGATTCTTTCTATACACTGTTTGGTGTATATACATATATGTAAGTTAATGAAAAAGCATCACAAAGTTAAAAATGCTTTATTTATCAATCATAGTTCAAGAAGGCATCTTATTCAAATACCGTCTCAGTTATTTGGATATTTCTTTAACTTTCATATCATCTTATTTAGAAGTTGTGAATAGTTTTTTTTATTCATTCACTCTAGCGATTCCTAAAATGATGAACAAATAAACAAAGTATACATTTTAACTTGATTATTTGATGTTATCAGATCTATTGAATTCATTTCAATATTGGGCAATTTTTTTAGATTTTTAAAGCTAACTAATAATAATAATGCCAGACAATAGGTTGTGAGCTCGAGCATTGTTTCTTCTTATGGTATCGGTAATAGACCTCGAAACTGAATAAATAAACTTACAGATCAAAAGGGGGATACAATCAAAACAAAGGTGTAAACAATGACAGGTTTAAGGTCAACAAAAACTAATCGAGATCGAGGTTAGCAGAACAAGCTATACAGGTCGAACGTGGAGAAATTCGAATGCTTCACTTCTATCTGAAGTTTTGTGCGGATAATGTTGTTCAGAAGAACAACGAAAGCTCCACAACCAAAACATCCAGCTCAGAGAATGAATCACCACCATAGTATTTATAACCATTTATCTGGCTTCTGATATTCTTGCCTGACGTATTGATACAGTAGACGAAAATCCAGTAAGTTCAATTACTAGTGTTATAGGCAAGATCAAGACAAAAAACTTGTTTGGAAACACTTTTTGCTAACAATCGATGCATACACAATATTATAATTTTTGATATTATGTTATCATTTACAAAAGATACATTCGATTAACCAATATGATTAAAATAATTTTAATTCATTCAAGTAATTAAGTGGAAATTTATTCTGAGTTAAAGTTTTGGAGATTTGTGTTTTTACACATTTTAAATCATTAATCAATCATTCTTAGACCACCATTAGAAACCTGGAAGCACTGGACGGCCGTTTCGTCCTGGTATGGGGACTCATCAACAGTGCACATCCATGATTCTTCACCTCGCAGGATTCGAACCCAGGACCTTCGATATTGTGCACGAACGCCTTACCATCGGACCAGTGGGCCGGCATCCAACGGTGTTAATGTCTAACTCTGATTGATCTACGGATTTTGCGCGACTTCACCCATTTGTGTTTGGTAGTTACTGCCTACATTCGACAGGGCTGAACTCCATTGGTCACGTCTTCTCATTAGAACTCTGAGAATTTCATCACGAAGCTAGTCACTAGTGAGCACATTTCATGATATTTTCAGTTAGAGTTTTGGAGATTTGTGTTTTTACACATTTGAAATCATCAGTCAATCAATTATTTTTAGACCAACACTGCTGATGAGTCCCATACCAGGACGAAACAGCCGTCCAGTGCTTCCAGGTTTCTAACGGTGGTCAAATATCCCATAGATAACATGAGTATTAAAACTATAAAGTAATTGTTAGTCAATCTCTCACAGTTTCCAACTAAACACTGATTAGTGATTGAAAAAAATGCCATCTGTGCATAAAATTTTTATTCAATCCTAGATAATTGTTGAATAAATCATTTTGCCAATTGGTTTTAAGATGAAATATTTATCATCTCATTTGTAGATTAAGAAAAAAAGATTACTGATACATCTACACAAGCGTATAAAGATTCGTGTATAACTTAGTACAATTAGACATATTTACCAATACTCTGTTATTCAATAAATTTTCCTTTCTGTTCAAATAAATTGCATTTCATCATAAGTGTGTACATAATTGTAGTTAATTCATTTTAAAAAAGTAAGTGAGAGAGAGATAACACAGTAAATCCACATAGCATAGTATTTCTCTTTCACTCATTTTTAAAATACTTTTTTCCTCCTATGAAACGAAACGTTCCCTTCTACTAAATGATAAGTACTAATTGTTTTTTCTCTGTTCTATCCACATACATATTCACATCTGCACATTAAATTATACTTTGTATATTTCATATTATAAATAAGTAATGACATTACTAAGGTGTTGAAGATTCTAATTACAATAAAAGAAATATTAGTCGTGTTTAGTTTCGATAAATGTTGCTCCTAATAGAATAATTAACTCATTAGGCCTATTATAGACATTCATGTAAGAAGAAGAATAATAAAGTATGTGCAAGCTGTGTTCAGTGAGTCAGAAAGTGGATTTTTTAGTGACATTGAAGTTCAGCCATTCTCCGTGATGTATATAAACATGATTTCGATGATATCTCAATATCATCATCCTATATATATATATATATATATATATATATATATATATATATATATATATGGTTCCCATGCTTATTGGTCGATCAGTCCATTTGTGCAAAAGTATTTCTTACTATGCACACAATTAACTTCTTTAATCCAGACATTACAATTGAACTGTAACGTGTTGCAATTTGATTTGATTTCCTTCCATCATAAATATAATTAGTTTCAGTTTTTTTCTTTAGTTCATACAAAAAATACGTTATTTCTTATGAGTTTATTATTCTCGCTTATATCTCAACTTACATCTCTTTGTGAACTTTAATGTTTAAATAACTAGATCAAATAAAATTGTATTGAAGCCAAAAATGAAGCACAGATCATTTTATTTGTTCACAACATTTATAAATTGTATTCAATCTATTATGACTCTTAACATACTGCATTACTGAACAAATGAAGACTTTCTATCATAGATGAAATGTAATCTAATCTCATCCATTAATGTATTTTAATCAGTAAGTAAATCTAGAATCGAAAATTTCATAATCTATAGTTCAATTAATTGAATAATCTATTAACTTAGTAACTAAAATGAAACTTTTGTCTTCATATTACCTACTACTATTCAACATGGACACAATAAAGCATTGGTCATGTGCTAGGATAAAATATCAGTATGACTTTATGTTGATTACGCAACTCATTTATCATTAACTAAGAACTGATTTTAACTTATGGATTAAGTTTCACCAATAGTTCTATTTTTCTGTTTTCAGTTTGTCTTAAAACCTTTTAGGTTGTATCAATAACATTTTTTCCTATAGTTCCTCTCCACATTCCACCTTATATATTGTGAATCTTTCTATGTAACTATACATTAGTATTCAACTCTTGTTCTATACTTTTCATTGTAAATATTCCGAATTTATTATGATATGATGTAAGAAGACTTTGCTTCATGAGCTCATTTTTTACTCTCTTAAAATTTATTTTCTTACAAAGATTCATGAAATAACTAGATTTATTTTGAGATGACATTTCCTAAGATAAACTTATTAAATATGAAGCTGTCACCACCTTCACTGATAATACTGTCAACATAAAATTAAAGCCTGAAATACTTTTCAAAACTTTAATAAGTTCTGATGTATAGAATTGAACAAGTTGAAAAGAAGACAGTTACCCATGTAATAAATCGACTCTAATCTTGGAAAAGTAAATAAATAAATTCAAATTTACTTTCTCAGTAGTATGATACGCATCATAAAACCTGAAAAATGTTGATTTGATCACTACTATTGACTTAATAATTGTGAATTGATGAGGTATAGGGTCAGCGAGATGATAATAATAGATGGTTAGAGATCCTGAGTGACATGGATCCATACCATTTGCAATAGCGCAGGTGCATTTACTCTTTGATTTCTATGAAATTCTAATCTTGTGAATTCCTGATCACCTCTATCTTTTTCTCTCTCTAAAATTAACTCAATGAATTATACTTATTGACTAGCATCTTCGATACCTAACTCTCCATTTACTTCTAATACTTTTACTATCTCTACTACTATGGAATTAGAATTGACAGTTACATCTCTGTGCCAATGTGGCATGGCAACTGAAACTGACGTACTTACGTACAAAGTTCCACGTTGTAACTGACTGACTGACCGCTGAAGTATATATTCAAAGCAAGTAAAACTTTATTCCAATTTATTTCTCTTATCGTCACTAGCCCATAATGAGAAATGACTTCAAACGGATACGATTTAAACTGTTTTGTTAACTGTGGACTTGGTACTTAAATTTTTTGTTATAGAATACTAATAATCATCTATACATTCTATCTTATTGCATATTCTACAGTTAATTAGATGTTTTTTTTTCAATTAAGAAAAGACTCTAAATAAATAAACTAAACTTTTGATTATTTTATTGAAAAGGAATTTACAATTAGTTGCATCATCATTTAAGGATGTTACCGTTTTTTTCTTTTGTCCAGTTAACATTATATAAAACAAACTGCGTGATTAAATGATCTCAGATAAAGCTATGTAGTTATTTTAATTATTTCGCCAATGCATTCATTGAATACAACTATAGTTTGTGTTCGCTTCTCTGAAAGTGCGCCATCTTGGCGGAAAATCATTAATTCTCTCTTTCTTTTTGTTCAACATCTCAAAACTCGCATTTATTCACACATATCAGTAAAGCTATAAAGGCTGGAACTATGAATAATTTGAATACAACATTTCATTGATTTTACAGTTGTGGCTGACAACGAAAATATTTTAAAATTCTTTGTTTTATTATTAATAATTATCATTTTTTTTAACCAATTTCGTATCCAGTTTGACGTGTTAAGTTGACTAGTAAATTGATTACAATCACCAATTTCCAATTATCAAAACAGTCAGTCGTCTTGTTTTTTTACTGTTGAATACATTATGAGTATAACTAACTATAGATACATATTCTCATATACAAAATGATAGATTACTCAATGACACAATATGAGTAGTAAAAAGCACAAGATAAAATATTTTCAGAATATTCAGCTTCTTACAGTTCAATTTTAAATTAGTCAAATTAAATGTTTGCTATCAACAACATAGATAAGGTTTACTTTTTTTTTAAATCATTCAGCATAGTGTAACTGTGAAAGTAAATTAAACTAATTATTGAATGAACAGTGAATTGTGCATGATGTGTGTTTGTCAGTTTGTATGTCTATGTATATATATATATATATGTGTGTATTTGCGCTACACAATACCATTCATTAAAGAAATAGTAATTTATAGCAATCTAATGAAGTGTTGTTTTTTAGACGCCTTTTATCTGTCTTAAAGAATTCTAATTTCTTATTTTATTTTGTTTTTTGTAAGGACTACTGAGTTAAAATATTCTCACCAACTGTTGAAATGGCGGTGCTGAACGTTCATTTAGAAAATGTGTTTGATTCACATTTGTACTATTGTTACTAGTAGCATTATTGGAGTTCGTGTTAGTAGTCGTTGTAGTATTATTATTACTATTAATAGTAGTATTCACATTATTACCATTTGAAGGAATCACTAAACTATTACATTTTAAATGATTCACTGTTGAATTATCATTTGTTGTTGTTGCTGTTGTTGCTGTTGTTCCTGTTATTGATAAATTCAACGATGAATTATTCAGGTTATTCGATTGAATACAATTGAAATTCTGTCCTGACGATAATGATGATGACGATGATGATGATGAAGGTGGCGGCGATGATATACACGAAGGAATAGATGAATTCGACAATAAACCTGGAATTCTTGTTAATGTTGATGACTGTGGTATGGTTGGAGGTGGTGGGATTAAATTCGATAAGTTGGAATTTAATAAACATCCAGATGTATAATTCGTGATTGTATGCTCATTCAATGAATTTGTATGATAATTTATTAATGAATTCGGTGATGAAGTGGATAATGTGGTATTTTCAATTGAATGTCTAATTAGTTTATTATTATTGTTATTATTATTATTATTGGGTTGATTTGTTAATAAATTCGAAGGACTATGTGATCGATATCGTGAATTCAAATCATTTTGTACATTTTGTGCAGTCCAATATGGTCCAGGGATATGATGTACATCAATGCCAGAATTAGCACACATCAAATTCATATCATTACGAACAGGACTCTGTGCAATCATTGAAATACCATGTAAACTGCCTGGACGTCCACCATTCTAGAAAAAAATAACAGCAGTGTAGAACATTAAGAATAATGATAATGGAAGATAATGATAATCATAGTAGTAACATAATTATCGTTAAATAAATTCAGCATAAACTTCTATTTTCAAGCAGTTAGCTCGCCTTAACCAGAAATTCTAGGCAAAAACTATGTGTGTTTTTAAACTAAACATTAAATATTCTATCCACGCAACTAATATAAAGAAATTATTTACCAATAGTAGGAATGATAATAATAATAATAACTGTGTAAATTTGTCACAAGTCGAATAAAGAATGGAATAATTAAAATCTGATATAATCGTCAACTGATAGACGTGAATGTTATTACGAGTTCACCTTACTCGGTAAACGGAGCGAAGGGCGATGATGCAGTGACACGATAGGCTATTCTAATCTCATTATCCCAGGCCCCACTAACTAAAGCAACAATTTTTAATTAGGAATGGAGAACGCATTCTACAAGTACTCAGAAAATACGAGGTTGCTATGCACACAAATCAGGCTAATATATATACAATGATAGCAACGCCTTTGGGAGATCCACAAAATAGCATAATAAATTAATCCATTAACCAATGACATTCCAAAATTTCCGAGTGGAAATGTAAGCTGTAGGTCAACTAAGCGTCTCTTGGAGCAAAAACATAGAAATTCAAAATTTCACAAATAAGTTGCAAAATTAGAACCTTTTCCATGTGAGTTCTGAGGATCTAACGTCTCCAACGTAGTTAATACAAAGAAATTATTTACCAATAGTAATAATAATAATAATCATAATGATTGTATAAATTTGTCACAAGTTGAATAAAGAACGGAATTATTAAAAATCAATGAAATATCTACTTGTGTTCTGATTAAGTAATCTATGATCCACTAATTCAATTTTTGACTATATATTTACAAGCAAACTGAATTTATATTCTAACACCTACATGAAGGATGTGATTTTATGATTAATTTCTATCAACCGCAGCAAAAACAGTAGAACGTTAATGTATAAACTTATTTAAAATCTTGCTAAAAATTAACATGTCATCTATTCTTTACTGCTTAATTGACAAAAATAAACTTCATATTTACAAGAAAACTAATTCAGTTGATGATGATGATGATGATAATAACATGAATCGGAATCGTACTGAACGAATTATATGAAATGAAAAAATCTTATGTATGTGAAACAGATTACTCATTGAGAGAGAGAGAGAGAGATAGATAGATACATTGAAATTATCATTTCATGAAAATTATTCTTCATATAATACATAGTTCTTTTTCAATCTTATTTTGTATATAAAAATTCTAATCATAGTCTCTAAATAAATGAATACTTAATCCTATTCATATGTATGTATTACAGGACTGTAAAAAAAACCGTTAACCAAGTGATTACTTAAATGAAACAAATATTAATCTAGTTAATTGCTTTACACTCTTTCTATCTCCCACTCTCATATTTACACACACACACACACGTAAATATTCTTCAATGAACAAAGAGAAATATCTGACTTGAATCATATGCATACGACACTAGAGAATAGAGTAACATAAATTCTGCAAAGAAGAAGAGCAATATGGCGAGTAGTTTCATAACAAATGTTCATATATATATGCATATATGATTTGAATGAAGTCAAACTGTAGGAAATAAAGTGAACTATCATCTAATATTCATATTATTCTAGTTTTACCTTTAATCCTGTCTAAATTTTGTTGACTTATCACAGTTGTGCATTATGACTTACAGAAGACAAAAATAAGAGTAAAAACTTGACTATATATATAACTAACTAACTAACTAATCAGTGTTAATAATCTTTCCTTAATCCTTTCTTCTTCTGTTTCTTCTATTTCTCACTTTATTTAACACATACATTTTGCATGCTAATTTTTTTAATACATGTGTATAGGAATGTGTTTTTTTACACAGTTTGTGCATGGTTATCTCATATTTTACGAAATTTGTAATGTGTTGTGTAATTTCCTGTAGTCTGTCTGTACACTATTGTATCATTTTACTGGTATACACCAATAGAAGAAATGGATTAGAAAAAAACTAAACAAATAGAAAACTCTGATCACTGATAAAAGGGAAACAGATCATACACAATTCACTACTATATATATATATATATATATATATATATATATACGCTTTTAGTTATCTATACAATAGAACATGAAAAATATATTTACAATCATTCCTGTATTTAGACGAATTACCTACATCAAATAATGGCATGAATATTTAAGCCAAAAAAAAATAATATCCGAAAAAGAAAACTCACTGATTATAACCCCTTTACTTTATTATAATAAAGGGAAGGAAGAAGTCATGTTAGTAGTATTAATAATAATAATAATAACGATTATTATAATTCTTATTGTACTCATAGAAGAAGGGGAAAATGCATCAACACAATGAAAATATACAGATTAAAAAAAAAGAAAGAAAAAAGTTACGTACTTATACAAAAGAATTCAATGCAGAGAGACGTAGAGAAAGTAGAAGACATTTTCTTCTTATAAAGATATATAAAGAAATTCCTTTTAATTCTTCTACTTAATCGTTTTTTTTTAATTCTTTTCTAGTGTGTTTTACCCATCTCTTCCTGTTCTCCTATTTACACCGGTACATAGTTATAATGTAAAAAGAAAAAAAAGTATAAAAGTAGTGTAATTCACTACTATGAGAATGAAATTGTAATTAATTGTAGAAATGCTTTGCTTTGTCTTTAGTCTAAATTATTTCCTTTTGTCTTGCCTTTTTGTTAGGTAAAGATTAAATAAAATACGATACAAATAGGAAGAGACAGAAAGTGAAGTAGAAGTATTTATTGGATAGACAGACGTATATGATTAGGTACATGTGTGTGTGTGTTTGACGAGCAGTAATACTGTTTCTGAATAGTTTTTCTTCGTTATATCGCTATATATATATATATATATATATATATATATATATATATGTACGCCCTCTTGCCTCGATATTCTTTCGATATCACGAAGCCAGTATCAAATATACTTCTTTCTCTAGAATCTGTTTCTTTCTTGATTCTCTGAGTCCGTGGAGTGACATTTGTTCTCCTGCGAAGAAGTATATCGTACGAATCGATATATATGAAAGTTTGTACTTGATATTTCACAAGTCATCAACTTCATTAGTGTTAAAATACATTTTACTATTCCACACAAATCTCTTATACTAATGATAATACAAAATTCGGGTTTAAAATGTTTTGCTTAAATCTCATTTTGTCAATCATCATATAAATAAGCGATGAAAAAACATTAATTATTTTATAATAAAAATAAATCAAATCTAAACATTACTGATTTGTAAGAATAATAATAATCATAATGAAATATTTCAGAACTATTGAACATATGTTTTACTTATGTATTAATAGAAAACCAACCATGAATTACATGGCTGTTCAGAATTCAAATATCATGAAAATCTGTGATTAAAAAAGACCATTAGCTAAAGATATAAATAAATACATATATATGGTCAAAAGCCCATCAATTATGAATATCAACCTCAGTTTATTATACAAAATACAAATTATTGACCTGTGAAAATAGCCAACTAGGCATCATGTCAATTACACAAACTAATCAGCATGAATTCAGAAATCTCAGTTGGTTTTTTTAGTCGCTTTAACACATCGGTGAGATGTTCACCTATCAACCAAAGAACAAAATATATTATGCAACAGCTCTCTATGTTTGATTCGATGGTTATAAAATATGGTCTATGAAAAATAAGAATTTTGATTTGACGGCAGTTTTTTTTATTATGAGTAACTCATGTATCGTCTGACGACTAAGTAAACGATGTTGAGATTAGACACACAGTGTTTGGCAACGGATTTCAGTCGGTTAAAGAGGTTGTAGATCTTCATTGAGTGGGATAGTTGGGAGATATATTACACACGCGCAACCACCACCCATCTTGAAGTAGGATTCAATTTGAAGAAAATTAGAGGCGATTAAATCAAGGCATGATATCAACTATCCAGTCATTGGTCATTAGTGCAGTGTATACTAATCGCAACATGGCTCATAAGCAGTATAGATTGGAGTGTCACCCAGAAGTTATTACTGAAGAAAAATGTCGGGATCGGATATGTGGCGTAACCAGAGTGTTTAGAAGACTCGAAGACAGGTGAAAAAATTACAACCAGTAATCCGCTTGTTCTGAAGATAGAGTATACACATTTTTCCAATAAACTGTCTTCTTTAACTATATATTGGTAAACAAACCAATGTGTAAACAAGTTTCTCAAGAAAATACCTATGAAAATCATTGATATGTATTCAAAGACGTCTGGTAATAAACTTTTCTTCAACTTAAAGTAAACTCTAATAATGTGTGCTCGTTTATTCTTAATAAAATTTATCTTACCAACTTATCAAAGTTAAATAGTGACCAAATAAAAATAAAACCTGCATCATCATTATCATGAGTAAGTACCTTCTTGAATAAAAATACAAACTCTGTAAGATTACTCACTCTGAACCTATAACAATCTAGTACATGCTAAACAAAATATAGATTTCACTTATAAGCATCAACTACTGAATCGGAACTTATTACATATTATGAGCTAAAATGATAATGATGATGAGTTTTAAGTAGTATCGATAGCACGAGTTCGAAAAAATACTGTTAAATGCTCAGTGAACAATAACAGCAACAACCATAAGGAACAAGTATTCTTAGTAATCCATTTCAGTCTGTTTATGTCAATCTCTTAGTCTCATGTTCACTGACTGATGCAATTATTCAGTGTAGTGAAAATCTTTTTAGGTAATATCATCTTCACTATCCTGCATGAATATCATCACTTATTCGCGCATTTTCGGCTATTTTTTTCATTTCTGTAATTGTCGATAGAGGAGGAAACGTTTAATCCGTGAAATTTTACTGATGTGACCCATTTAGTATTAATACGAATAAGTGACTGTGTGACATAGTGAG